TGGAGGCACTGCCAAAATTTCCCTCAGGCCTCGGCTTTTTTTCTCCATGGTGCTTTTGGATAACTCAGGGTGCTTCTCTTTGACTTGTCATTTCCTTCATGGTCAGTTTTGTTTTCTGTCTCATAAATCTTTTCCTCACCCACAATCATGACGATACCCTCCTTAGCAACCTCCAAAGGTTCATGGTCGCCTTTTCCAGTGTCCTCACCCACCCGGCCTTGGTTATTTTCGGAGTAGGATGGTTTAATACAAGCTGAGAGTTTGGCTTTTTTTTTCTAATTTCAGCACCAGGAACGATGTTTGTGGTCTGTATTTTTAATTGTAAGATACACACTAAAATTCACCAGTTTCATTGTGCAGTTTGGGGACTTTTCACCCCTGTCCAGTCTCACAGACTCGCGGACTTGCCGGCAGTGCTGGCCCAGAGCTCGGTCCCCACAGGCCTCCCTCAGGCCCCTCTGGCCAGTCCCTGTCCGGCCTGGACTGTGCATCCCGCCTGCATCCTCCCACCAGACTTGCTGTTGTTCTGGAATTGCGTGGTGCGTGGGAACATGCTCCTGCGTCTGCCCCCCTCCCCCGTGGCTTCGTGGGCGCCTGCGTCCACTCTCACTGCGGAGCCACGTCTGCGTGGGGAGGGGTTACGCTGTGTTTATCAGCCGCCTCCTGAGGGACTAGGTGCTTGTTTCCAGCTTGGGGCTGTTAGGAAAAGGGCTGCTTTGAACATGCTTGTATAAGACTTTGAGAGGATGTGTGTGTTAGTGTCTTTTTTTTTTTTTTTTTTTTTTTTGAGATGGAGTTCCCCAGGCTTGTTCCCCAGGCTGGAGTGCAGTGGCGCGATCTCAGCTCACCACAACCTCCACCTCCCAGGTTCAAGCGATTCTCCTGTCTCAGCCTCCCCAAAAGTTGGGATTACAGGCACATGCCACCATGTCCGGCTGATTTTGTATTTTTAGTAGAGACGGGGTTTCTCTATGTTGGTTAGGCTGGTCTCGAACTCCCAACCTCAGGTGATCTGCCTGCCTCAGCCTCCCAAAGTCCTGGGATTACAGGCATGAGCAACTGCACCTGGCTGTGTCTTTTTTTTTTTTTTTTTTTTTTTGAGATGAAGTCTCACTCTGTCACCCAGGCTGGAATGCAGTGCAGTCATCTCAGCTCACTACAGCCTCCGCCTCCCAGGTTCAAGTGATTCTCCTGCCTCAGCCTCCTGAGTAGCTGGGACCACAGACACCTGCTACCACGCCCAGCTAATTTTTTGTATTTTTGGTAGAGACGGGGTTTCACCACGTTGCCGGGCTGGTCTCAAACTCCTGATCTCATGTGATCCACCTGCCTTGGCCTCCCAAAGTGCTAGGATTACAGGCGTGAGCCACTGCACAACCAGCTGAGGGTCTTCAACAGAAAATTTATTTGGTTAAAGGTATTTCCTTCTCTTCTTAGTTTGCTAAGAGTTTTGTGTTTTGTTTGTTTGTTCGTTTGTTTGTTTTTGAGATGGAGTCTCGCTCTGATGCTCATGCTGGAGTGCAGTGGCATGATCTCGGCTCACTGCAACCTCTGCCTCCCGGGTTCAAGCGATTCTCCTGCCTCAGCCTCCCGAGTAGCTGGGACTACAGGCACCTGCCACCACACCTGGCTAATTTTTTGTATTTTTTAGTAGAGACAGACTTTCACCATGTTAGCCAGAATGGTCTCCATCTCCTGACCTCATGATCTGCCAGCCTTGGCCTCCCAAAGTGCTGGGATTACAGGCGTGAGCCACTGTGCCCAGCTGAGTTTTGTTTTTTTTAAATCATGAATGGATAATGATTTTGTCAAATGATTTTTATGCACCTGCTGGGAAGATCATGTGATTTTTCTCCTTGTATCTTTTGTCATAAATTGTATCTTTTTTCCATACACATTAAGCTCACTTTGTTTTCTAGGACTCTGAGTTTGTCAAGAATGATTATCTTTTTGTATATTGCTAAATAAGGGTGACTAACCTTTTTCTTTGGATTTTTACCTCTGTGTTTCCTGGTGAGGTTAATGTTGAGTTCTTGCCGTCTGCCCTTGTCAGGGTCTGGTTATGTCAGGCTCTTAGCATGAGTTCTCCAAGAAGAGTTTGAGACTGAATTGTTTGTGCCCTGAGCATCTGGTGAAACCACCTGCAGCCCTCTGGGGCCTGGCGCTGTCTTGGAATGGACTTTCTGACCATTCTGGAACTTTCTGGGTTTCCTCTGCTGGTCTCAATGCTGGTGAATTACTGTTCTAGGAACTTATCAGTTTCACGTAAACTTTCCATTTTATTAGGGTCAAGTTCATCATATCCTGTCCGTGCTCAGACATCACCTGCTTTAGGTGCACCCGGTTTAATAGTGCACAGCCAGCTCCCCCGAATCCGTGGGTCCAGTCAACACAGATTGAAAATGTTTGGGAACCAAAACAATAAAAAAAAAATACAACAATAACAATAATGCAGAGCTTAGAAATACAGTAGAACAACTATTGATACAGCGTTTACAGCATGTTAAGTGTTGCAAGTAATCTGGGGATGGCATAGAACGCATGGGGGGGTGGCGTGCACAGCTTCTGTGCAGACTTGACACCACTTCACGTCCAGGACTTGAACACCTGTGGATTTTGGTATCAGAGCGGCGTCCTGGAACTAGTCCCCCACGGATACCAAGGGATGGCTGCGTTTGTCGCCTTCTAACCATAGTAAATAATTGGCCTGTTTGTTAGTGATTGTCTGCCTTCATTAGAATGCTGGCTCCAAGGTCTGCGTCTTGTGTTTTCACTGAAGTCCCAGAACCCCTGTCAGGAGCCGCCAGCTGTGCCAGCCAACACAGGAACCACTGGCCACAGTTTAATTAAAATTAAATACAATTAAAAATTCATTCGGTTGGCCAGGTGTGTTGGCTCACACCTGTAATCCCAGCACTTTGGGAGGCTGAGGTGGGCGGACCACTGGAGGCCAGGAGTTCGAGACCAGCCTGGGCAACATAGTAAAACCCCGTCTCTACTAAAAATACAAAAGGCTGGGCATGGTGGCAGACGTCTATAATCCCAGTTACTTGGGAGGATGAGGCACAAGAATCGCTTGAACATGGGAAGTGGAGGTTACAGTGAGCCGAGATTGCACCACTGCACTCTAGCGTGGGTGACAGAGCAAGACTCCATCTCAAAAAAAAACAAATGGGCTGGGCACGGTGGCTCACACCTGTAATCTCAGCACTTTGGGAGACTGAGGCAGGAGGATCACTTGAGCCCAGAAGTTCGCAGCCAGCGAACTGCCCTGGATAACAGACTGAGACCCTGCCTCTACTAAAAATACAAAAAGTAGCCAGGTGTAGTGGTGCATGCTTGTAATCCCAGCTACTCAGGAGGCTGAGGTGGGAGGATTGCTCAAGCCCACGAGGTCAAGGCTGCAGTGAGCCAAGATCATGCCACTGCACTCCAGCCTGGGTGGCAGAGCAAGACGCTGTCTCAAAAAAAAGAATAATAATTATGAAATCCTTCAGTCCCACAAGCCACAGTTCAAGTGCTCCACACCATGTGTGGTCAGCAGCTGTGCTGTTGGGCAGTGGAGATGTGGAAGCTCCCAGTGTTGCAGAATGTTCCGGAAGCCTGGCTTTGAGCCTGGCTTCATTCTCTTCATCTTGTTTCTCTTCTCCCTCCCTCAAGAGCCTCAGACATGCCTGCTGATCTCCCCTTATACTTGCCTGGCAAGACTGACTCTACTCTTTCCCTTCTTCCTCCCTTTTTATGTAAAAGTTAACTGAGCTTCAAAGACTATTTAATAAAAAGTGCAGTTATGGGAAACTGGAATAGAAATGATACAAATGGGGTAGAAAATGAAGAGCGTGAAAGTATTTAATCTCTGTCAGTAAGCCACAGACACTGTACGTCATCCCAGGCCCCCACTTTCCACAGTCTGACCCCAGCCACCCGTTTCCCAAGCTCAGACAGGAACATGGGAGAGGCCACCAAGGTTCCTGGGGAAGCCTTCCCAGCATGGCAGTCACCCTGGTGCCTCATCCCAGAGGCGGGGTCCCCACGTGGTCCCCTGGGTCCTATAGTGCCTGCTGCCTGTCTTTCAGGTGGGGACCATGTCCCTACCCTGCCCCTCCCTGTCTACGGCCCCAGGTGCCCTCCCTGGCCCCAACGGAGCGCTGCGCGTGCCGTGTCACCATCCTGTCCCCACAGAACGCACGTGTCCTCATCCCCGCTGAGCCCAGTACCAGGCTCAGTGCCTGCACTGGTGCCCTTGGTGTACATCTGCCAGGCGCAGGCAGGTCTGTGACTGGGAAAGAACACAGCGCTCGGGCAGGGCGCGGTGGCTCAAGCCTGTAATCCCAGCACTTTGGGAGGCCGAGACGGGCGGATCACGAGGTCAGGAGATCGAGACCATCCTGGCTAACACGGTGAAACCCCATCTCTACTAAAAAATACAAAAAACTAGCCGGGCAAGGTGGAGGTCGCCTGTAGTCCCAGCTACTCGGGAGGCTGAGGCAGGAGAATGGCGTAAACCCGGGAGGCGGAGCTTGCAGTGAGCTGAGATCCGGCCACTGCACTCCAGCCCGGGCGACAGAGCGAGATTCCATCTCAAAAAAAAAAAAAAAAAAAGAACACAGCGCTCTGTGCACAGCGGCAGAACTGCGGGGCTCTCGTGCTGCCTCGTGGACCCGGCCCTCACTGCCTTGCCTCTGAGGCCCTGCATTTCCCCAGATCACCCCTGAAATTCACCCCTCCTCCGGGGAGCTTCCACCCAAGAGCTTCCTCTTGGGCCCAAAACAGCATGATGGGGCCCCCAGCTGCCCCCCACCCCTGTGGGCCGCGTGCCCACTCCTGCTGTCTCTGATGCCTTGGGCCTCCCAGGTAGAGCCTGTTCTTCACGGTCCCTGAAGAACTTTCGTTTATTTTAAGCAAACAGACCAGTGTAACCGAGCAAGGCTTGGTACCGCGGTGGGATGGGGGCCGTCCGCCTGCAGTCCAAGGGTAACCCTGTTGTGCTTTTTCCGCAGGCGTCACAATGTAGCAGGGACCCCAGGCGTCGTGCTCAGGTAAGTGCACGTAGGCCGACTGCCCTCCTCTTTCCGCGCCTGTGAACTGCCGGACTTTGCCGAGACCACGCTTTGTGCATGTGGTCGCCATGCCTTGCAGCGCCTCTTAAACGCCGGCTCTGAGGACAGGCTGGAGCCGTGCGTGGGTCCTTAGCTTTTCTCGCGGTCAGTACTTCTGATTGACCCATTCCGCCTTTTGCTCGGTGGGGCTTGGTTGCGAGTTCTAGTCTAAATGGCGGAGTTGTGGCAGTCACACAGCCATGACACGAAGTGAACAGGTGCCATTTCTGTGCTAGAAAATGGAAAAAGAGCCAGGGCCGGAAGGAGGGTGCAGAAGCGAGCCCGCGTGCGGAGCCAGGAGGCAGCGTCGCGTGGGAGTGCTGGCCTGAAGCCTCCATGCCCCGGCAGAGGGACGGACACGCGGACGTCTAGCGGAGGTGAGGCCCACGTCCCCGACCCCGGAGGTGCTGCTGACTCCTTGCCCAGCCCTGTTGCCTGTTGTGGGGAGGGCGGGCGATCATGAGTAGCAGGCGGGTCAGGACACGGTGCAGCATTCACGGTTCACTGCCGAGTTTTCCTGGCCCTTCCTGTAAGAGTCCAAGATCCAGCCAGCTGTGGAGGGCCCAGGCCTTGATGGCAGCGCGGGGTGCAGAGGGCTGGTTTCCTTCCGTCACTGGTTCACTTGGGTGCCCTCCGGACGGCGTGTGGCGGAGGAGCAGTGCTGTGTGGGGGCGCAGCCTGGGGCTTCTGCCCAGTGAGTTGTGAGGCAGTTGATTAGCACTGGGAGATCCTCCGGCACAGGGCAGGGCTCTCGCTCCTCCCGGGTGGGTGTGGTCCTCAAGTGCGCAGGGCGGGGCTCCCCGTCCCAGGTGGGTGTGGTCCTCAGGGGCTCAGGGCGGGGCTCCCTGTCCCAGGTGGGTGTGGTCCTCAAGTGCGCAGGGTGGGGCTCCCCCTCCCAAATGGGTGTGATCCTCAGGGGCTCAGGGTGGGGCTCCCCTCCCCTCCTGTGTGGGCGTAGTCCTCAGGTACGCAGGGTGGGGCTCCCCCTCCCAGGTGGGTGTGGTTCTCAGGGGCGCAGGGAGGGGCTCCCCTCCCCTCCTGGGTGAGCGTGGTCCTCGGGCTCAGGGCGGGGCTCCGCCCCCCTCCCCTCCGTCTCCCTTCCCCTTCCTGGGCAGGCTCCTTATCCTCAGTGCGCATCAGGTCTCCCGAACCTCACAGCCCCACAGGGAGGAGGAGGGGAGGATTTGACTTTGGAAGTCTCTGACCAGGTGAGGACCGCAGGCGTAAAGGTGGTGGCATAGTGGTCCGGGACAGGCCTCACCCACAGGCATGTGACCCCTGGATGAGCCCAGCTTTCGGCTGCTTCGTGGGACCCCCAGGCCCGCGCCTGCAGCAGGCGACGTGGGGCTCAGCAGAGAGCTCCAGGCTGGGCCTCTTGGTGGCGGTGATGACGGAAGTGGTGTCACGCATGCAGCAGTTTGGGTCGCGGCTTTCCCTCCTCACTGAGGGAGACTCGTGCCTGCTTCTCTCCTGGTGAAAGGTCTGGGGAGCGAACTCCCAGTAGTGGGGTGCACCCCGGCCAGCCTGAGTCCCCGCCAGCCTCCACCCACGCAGCGGCCCTGCTCTCTTGCTGCCGGTGTGCGGTGACGTCGGGGGTCTGCTCCCTGAAGGCGCAGGTCTGGTGGGCGAGCAGAGCGGCTGCGGCAGCTCTCAAGGCAGGGCCTCCGCCAGCCACTGTGGCCTGGCCTTGTGCCCGCCCTGCGAGGGTAGAGTGGGGCCCCGGGGCGACGCGGCCCCTGCCCCGTGCTGCCTCAGGCTCTGGGAGACACAGCCTCGGGACACCCCGTGGAAGCGGTGCCGGCCCGGAAGTGAATGAGGAGGAAGGGGGAAGGGCGCACAGCCCAGACTCTTAAACTGGGCCCAGGGGCCGCGCTGTGAGCCAGCCGCACAGGGTCCAGGTGCCCAGAGCCTGCCCATCCTTATCCCATCTGGCAGCTCTGCCCTCGCAGCCTCCTCCTGCTCCCTCCGCCTTCACAGACAGAGGGTCCCGGGATCCTGCCTCTCTGAAGCTTTATGGACCCTTCTCAGTCCTCACTGCGAGAGGAGAGGAAGGGGTGTCAGGCACAGAGAGAAGCCAGTGCCGGGGGAGCCGGGGGCTTTTGAAAAGGTGGGCTTGTCCCAGTGCACACAGACACTGGATTGCTGACCGTGCCCTGCACATGGGAGCCTGGGACCCAGTGAGCCCAGGAGGCTCCTGCCGCCGGGGCCCGGGGCCTGCACCTTCCTCCCAGCCTGCATGCTCTTCCTTGGAGGGCCGCTGTCAGAACTAAGCCAAGGATGAAAGGCTTTGGAGAGTTTCAGGTGTTAATTAATCGCATTTTGTCTTGCAGAAGCCAAAGATGTTGACCAGGAAGATCAAGCTGTGGGACATCAACGCCCACATCACCTGCCGCCTGTGCAGTGGGTACCTCATCGACGCCACCACGGTGACGGAGTGCCTGCACACCTGTGCGTGCCCCACCCAGGCCACCCAGGGAGGGCGTGCCCTTCCCAGCTGTGTGCTCTTCAGAACCTTGGCCTTTGTTTTACCACGAGCTTTGAGCTCAAGCCCCGACAAAAGCAGGACCCAGGACCAGGGGCAGAGAGGATCTTGAGGATAAGTCAGAAAAGTCATTTCACACTAAAGGTTCTGTGGGTGGTTTCAGAGCAGATGAGGCCTCACTTAGGAGAGCTAAACACAGGAGGGGCCACGCTCCTGCCACTGAGCAGCAGGGCCAGTGGCCGCTGTGACACGGCGCTCACTGCTGGCGGTTTCCACATCTCCGAAGGAGTTCCTTAAATCCTTCAAAGGGGAACCTGCCAGTGTGCTCCTCACACTGGATGTGCGTCCGCACACCTGATGAGCCTGTGCGTTGGTGTTAGAGGACTCACAACTGGGGCTAGACCTGGGTGTTTCTCTAAGTGTGGCTGCAGCTGACGGGCAGGCGTCATCAGTCAGGCTGAGGCTCAGTTCTTGTGCTAACATGAGGCCTCATGGCTGGCGGCCCTGCTGGTGTGGACGACCGCTCTGTGCGTCTCTTGATGGCTGAGGACCATTTCGCTTAAACAGGATCTTTAAAATAAAGTGTACACTTATAACACAAGTGATGCTTGTGTATTTCTCATTTTAGAAAATAAAATATTTGCCAAGTTGATAGAATTTTGACTTTAACGTTAATCGTATTTTTAGATACTGGTTAGCATATTTTATGTTAGGTTATTTTCATTTGATTTTATCTAGTTGTACGTAGAAGATACTGTCATCTTTTAGGACAAAGTATTGTAAAATTATCTATATTAGCCCATGTTCTGATGACCCACAGCTCTCTCACCTTTGAGCATCATCTCCCCATTCTAAGTGTTTCTTCCCACTTAAATCCTAACCCTGCCTCTTTGAGGAAGCCCATTGACAGGACAGTTAAAACTTTCTTGTTGCTTCTGATACCAGAACGGCAAGATGTTTCCTTTTCAGAAGCCAAGAGCCGTAAGGAGGACAGCAGTGAGCATCTGCACAAAAATGAGCTCAGAGATGCCCGTGTTCAGTGGAGCACATGGGTGGGCTGGGTGCCCTGGCTCTGGACTCTCTCCTAACACACTTGTGCTTTGATGACAGTCTGCAGGAGCTGCCTGGTGAAGTACCTGGAGGAGAACAACACCTGCCCCACCTGCAGGATCGTGATCCACCAGAGCCACCCCCTGCAGTACATCGGGTGAGTGTGGGCCTCCCCAGGCCACAGTACGTCGGGTGAGTGCCCCCCAGGCATCTCTTTGAGTGTGGGCGTTCCCAGGCCACCGTACGGAGTGAGTGCCCCCAGGAGTCTCTGTGAGTGTGGGTGTTCTGAGGCCACAGTATGTGGGGTGAGTGCCCCCAGGCGTCTGAGAGTGTGGGCCTTCCCAGGCCACAGTACGTCGGGTGAGTGCCCCCGGGCGTCTCTGTGAGTGTGGGCCTTCCCAGGCCATAGTGCTGTACCCCCATCCTGCCTTGGCAGCAGCCACTCCTGACCAAGGGCACCCCAGGAGCTTCACACGAAGAACCTGGGTCCAGCACTTACCAGGCCACCCTGCCAGGCCTGCCCACACTGTGCCTGCAGATACATTTCCATCAGTACTTAGTCAAGTAGACTGGGTACAGTGGGTCACACCTGTAATCCCAGCACTTTGGGAGACCGAGGCGGGCGGATCACCTGAGGTCGGGAGTTTGAGACCAGCCTGACCAACATGGAGAAACCCCATCTCTACTAAAAATACAAAATCAGCCAGGCGTGGTGGCGCATGCCTGTAATCCCAGCTATTCGGGAGACTGAGACAGGAGAATCGCTTGAACCCAGGAGGTGGAGGTTGCAGTAAGCGGAGACTGTGCCGTTGCACACCAGCCTGGCAACAGAGCAAGACTCTGTCTCAAAAAAAGAGAAAAATCACTTAGTCAAGTCAAATCATTGGAGAACCCTCAGGACCCAGGTTGAATGTCATGAGTTTTATGCAGAATTTGCTGAAGTTAAATTTGATGTGAGCTGGCCCTTGGATCCACCTTCCACCTTTCTGCCGTGGAACAGGTGGTCCTGGCCCTGCTGCCCCTGGCACATGGCCGGGGTCTGTCTCCCTGTGCCACGCTCTTCTGCCCAGGGTCACAGAGAGCCTCAACTCACCACTGGGCCAGCCACTGTTTCTGGAGAAGGCAACTCTGGCCTGGACATGAGCAGGAGGCCAAGGGGCCAGCCAGGTGGAGCATGTGGTTCTCACACAGACTTGGGGGGTTGCTCCAAAGGAAGGGAAATGCTCCTCATACCACAGAGGGTAGTAGAGATAATTCTGAAGACATTTTGAAGGAGGAAAGGCCGATGTGTTTGTTTTTCCCTTTTATTTTTATTATTATTATTTTTAAATTTTATTTATTTATTTTTGAGACGGAATCTCGCTGTCACCAGGCTGGAGTACAATGGCGCCATCTCAGCCTGCTGCAAGCTTCGCCTCCTGGGTTCAAACGATTCTCCTGCCTCAGCCTCCCGAATAGCTGGGATTACAGGCGCCTGCCACCAAGCCTGTCTAATTTTTACTTTTTTTTTTTTTTTTTGAGACGGAGTCTCGCTCTGTCGCCCAGGCTGGAGTGCAGTGGCCGGATCTCAGCTCACTGCAAGCTCCGCCTCCTGGATTTACGCCATTCTCCTGCCTCAGCCTCCCGAGTAGCTGGGACTACAGGCGCCTGCCACCTCGCCCGGCTAGTTTTTTGTATTTTTTTTAGTAGAGATGGGGTTTCACCATGTTAGCCAGGATGGTCTCAATCTCTTGACCTCGTGATCCACCCGTCTCGGCCTCCCAAAGTACTGGGATAACAGGCTTGAGCCACCGCGCCCGGCCAATTTTTGCATTTTTAGTAGAGATGGGATTTCACCTTGTTGGCCAGGCTGGTCTCAATCTCGGCGTCTGCGGTTCCAGCTACTCAGGAGGCGGAGGTGGGAGGATCGCTTGAGCCCAGGAGGCAGAGGTTGCAGTGAGCCAAGATCGCATCACTGCACTCCAGCCTAAGTGACAGAAGGAGACCCTGTCTCAAAAAAACTAAAAAAATAAAAAGAGGATACCAAAGTGGGAACTAGATTTTAAATACCATGCTTATGTAATCTTTTCACAAAACCTCGATCTAGATCATAAAGATGACAGGAAGGGCCTCATCTTAGGACAGAGTCTCTCTCTTGTTGCCCAGGCTTGATTGTGGTGGTGTGATCTGGACTCATTGCAACCTCTGCCGCCCGGGTTCAAACGATTCTCCTGCCTCAGCTTCCTGAGTAGCTGGGACTACAGGTGTGCACCACCATGCCTGGCTATTTTTTGTATTTTTAGTAGAGATGGGGTTTCACCATGTTGGCCAGGCTGGTTTCAAACTCCTGACTTTAGGTCATCCGCCCACCTCGGCCTCCCGAAGTGCTAGGATTACAGGTGTGAGCCACCGCACTCAACTCTTACAGACTTTTCTTTACATTATTTGGAAACATTCCAGAAAGGCCTCTGTTCAGTGGAAATCCCACAAAGACCAAGATACCCCAGGAAGCAGTTGGTGGGAGGGGCAGGGACAGTGTCCCCTGAGCGCACGGGACGCAGGGAACCTCGGGTGTCCGCAGGGACAGTGTCTCCTGAGCGCACGGGACGCAGGGAACCTCGGGTGTCCGCAGGGACAGTGTCCCCTGAGCGCACGGGACGCAGGGAACCTGGGATGTCTGCAGGGACAGTGTCCCCTGAGCGCACGGGACGCAGAGAACCTGGGATGTCCGCAGGGACAGTGTCCCCTGAGCGCACGGGACGCAGAGAACCTGGGATGTCCGCAGGGACAGTGTCCCCTGGGACGCAGGAGCCTGGGATGTCCGCAGGGACAGTGTCCCTGAGCGCACGGGACGCGAGACCTGGGATGTCCGCAGGGACAGTGTCCCCTGAGCGCACGGGACGCAGAGAACCTGGGATGTCCGCAGGGACAGTGTCCCCTGGGACGCAGAGAGCCTGGGATGTCCGCAGGGACAGTGTCCCCTGAGCGCACGGGACGCAGAGAACCTGGGATGTCCGCAGGGACAGTGTCCCCTGAGCGCACGGCACCGGCGAGGGACGCGGGGACCCGGGTGTCCGCAGGACGGCCCGGGACCAGGAACCTCGGGTGTCCGCAGGGACAGTGTCCCCTGAGCGCACGGGACGCAGGAGAACCTCGGGTGTCCGCAGGGACAGTGTCCCCTGAGCGCACGGGACGCAGAGAACCTGGGATGTCCGCAGGGACAGTGTCCCCTGAGCGCACGGGACGCGGGGAGGGAACCTGGGATGTCCGCAGGGACAGTGTCCCCTGAGCGCACGGGACGCAGAGAACCTGGGATGTCCGCAGGGACAGTGTCCCCTGAGCGCACGGGACGCAGAGAACCTGGGATGTCCGCAGGGACAGTGTCCCCTGGGACGCAGAGAGCCTGGGATGTCCGCAGGGACAGTGTCCCCTGAGCGCACGGGACGCAGGAACCTGGGTGTCCGCAGGGACAGTGTCCCCTGGAGGGCGAGGGGCGCAGGGGGTGGGGGGGGGGGTGTGCAGGGACGTGTCCCTGGGACGCAGGGAACCTCGGGTGTCCGCAGGGACAGTGTCCCCTGAGCGCACGGGACGCAGAGAACCTGGGATGTCCGCAGGGACAGTGTCCCCTGAGCGCACGGGACGCAGAGAACCTGGGATGTCCGCAGGGACAGTGTCCCCTGGGACGCAGAGAACCTGGGATGTCCGCAGGGACAGTGTCCCCTGAGCGCACGGGACGCAGGGAACCTGGGGTGTCCGCAGGGACAGTGTCTCCTGAGCGCATGGGACGCGGGGAACCTTGGGTGTCTGCAGGGACAGTGTCTCCTGAGCGCACGGGACGCGGGGAACCTGGGGTGTCCGCAGGGACAGTGTCCCCTGAGCGCACGGGACGCAGGGAACCTGGGGTATCCAGCAGACAGAAGCACGGGTTCCCAGAATAACCTTATCTGTCATTATTTCGAATGTTTGTAAGCAGCCAGAGCCCAAATTAAATGATGCATTAATTCAAGTCATACATAGCTTTTGGTGACACAAACATTTTTTCATTTGTAAACTAGAAGTAAAATTCCAACAGAGTTCCCAACTGGTGATTCTGAACTTTGATATTGTTAAATGGAAAATGTACAAGAATTATAGAATTAACATTTCTAGCTAACTCCACCTTTCTGTTCTTTCGCCAGTCATGACAGAACCATGCAAGATATTGTTTACAAATTGGTACCAGGCCTCCAAGAAGGTGAGTGTCCGACTGTCTCGCTGATCTCTGAGGTCCCGGCCTGGCCTCTGCAGCCGCTGCTCTCCTGGAAGTTTGGTTCTCAGATGGGAGGCCCCTTTCCTTTTGGTCGAATCACTGTCTTCTCATCCCTGCTCTCAGCCCATCTTTATCTCCTTGGCTGGTCTCTTCTTTTGTCTGTCTAGGATCCGTAGACATCTTTCTGCCCCTTCTCTGTATTCATTCAGCAAGTATGGATCGCATGTTTAGTGCATGGGACCCCCAGCGCTCAATGCAGCTCCTGCCCCGCCCAGGACCCTGCCTTCTTCCTGGGCCCCACCTCCTGTCCCAGACTTGCCTCTCCCCATCCCACAGCACCAGCCTCCCCACAACAGAGGAGCAGCACATTGGCAGAGCGGGTAGCTGGTGTTTCTAGAAAAACTTCACTGTAAAGTCAAATTTCATTTAGAATTAAAGGAAATACCAAGTAGTACAAATACCCTGCAAGTGGAAATCGGTTGCTTGGGGATCGCTCGGCGGAAAGCTCCCTGGCTCCCGCCGCTCGCACGGTGGTGGTGGCCCTCCGCTGGCGACCGGGAAGGAGGCCAAGGAGGGGCCGGGTCAGCGCCAGGTGGGCTGTCCTGGCATTCTGCTCATCAGACCTTTCAAAGGCAGATAGAGAAGCTGAGAATTCACTTGGGCTGGTTCTCACTGTATCTCAGAAGAGGGTTAGAATTCAAAACACAGCTGAATATGCCAGATCCATAGAAATCGTATCTCACCTTTAATGCGTGACCCAGAGAATCACACTGTTAAGAGGCTCCTTTCCCTACTCACAGAGTTCATTCATGCAGGAAGAATTTAGATTTCCTGAGTAAACGTAGATGAAACAATTAGTCTTTTAATATCTGAAAGTTTTTTCGTCCTGGGAAAAGGCAAAGGATACATTCGAGTAAAATGCTGACACCTTAAGAAACATTTGCACCGAGTGTTTCAGACGCGTAGCAGTGGGTGGGATTGGGGCAGGACCCTGAGTTTTGTGACCCCCACCAGTGCTGACACCTTAAGAAACATTAGTGGCCGGGCGCAATGGCTTATGCTTGTAATCCCAGCACTTTGGGAGGCCGAGGTAGGTGGATCATCAGGTCAGAAGTTTGAGACCAGCCTGACCAACATAGTGAAACCCTGTCTCTACTAAAAATACTAAAAATACAAAAAAAAAAAAATGAGCCAGACGTGGTGGCAGGTGCCTGTAATCCCAGCTACTCAGGAGGCTGAGGCAGGAGAATTGCTTGAACCCGGGAGGCGGAGGTTGCAGTGAGCCGAGATCACACCACTGCGCTCCAGGCTGCATGACAGAGCAAGACTCTGTCTTAAAAAAAAAGTTTGCACTGGAGTGTTTCAAACGCATAGCAGTGGACAGGATTGGGGCAAGAACCTCGAGTTTTGTGACCCCCCACCCCCCGCCAGCAGTTTCCAGGCTTTGCTACACCTACTGCTCCCTCAGCCTCGCCCCGTGGCCTTTGATCTGTAAAGGGTACAGTACCATCCCGAGAAGATAAGGGTTCTTAAAGCTCATAACCACATACCTTTATAACATTTAGGAAAATGGTGGAGATTCCTTAAAATAGTCCCTCAGCGCGGACATTTCTAGTTGTCTCATAAATGCTGTGGTTTTTGGTTGTTGTTTATTTATTTATTATTATTTTTTTGAAACCCGGTCCCTGTCGCCCAGGCTAGAGTGCAGCGGTGCTATCACAGCTCACCGAAGCTTCAACCTCCCGGGCTCAAGTGCTTCTCCCGCCTCAGCCTGCCGGGTAGCTGGAACTACAGGCAAGCACCACCATGCCTGGCTAATTGTTTGTAGGGATAGGGTTTTGCTGTGTTGCCCAGGGTGGTCTTGAACTTCTGGTCTCAAGCAGTCCTCCTGCCTCGGCCTCCCAAAGTGCTGGGATTACAGGTGTGAGCCCCCACACCCAGCCTGTTTTTATTCCAGTCCAGATCCAGAGAATGCCACTGACTCACGGGCCTCCTTCTGGCTCCCTCTTGCCTCTGCCTTCCCATCGTCCTGGGCTGTCCTGTGGCAGTAGACCTGGGTCGCATTCCGGCTGTGTTTTTGGCAAGCCCACTTCTGGGAGTCCCTCAGGGCAGGTGTCGTCCGCGTGCTGAGGAGGGTGGCACTGAGATCTGCATGCCGCCCCGTTCCATCACTTGTCTTTGTGTGTTAGTTGGAGTGCTTCCAGAAAACCAGAAAGACACACTTTGCTATTTGGTCCATTTTGTGTAGGAAGGGCTGAAAAAAACTATTTCCTTCATTTGTGTTCAAAACAGCAAGCTGGTTTCCCTGCCTCTGCAGTCAGGGGTTTGACCTGTGTGTTCTGCATGCGCCATGCTCGTGTCCTTCCTGATGCTCCAGTCCTCATCTGCAGCCAGTGGGCACCTCTTCATGCCCCGGGGTCTTGGGTGGTCCCTGTCCAGGACACGAGGCTCTTGGGGCTGCCCTGCCTCTTTGCCTGAGGGCTCAGGTTCCTCCTCAGGGCTGCCCTGCCTCTTTGCCCAAGAGCCCGGGTTCCTCCTCGGGGGACAGTGGTGTCTCAAGGCCAGCAGACCCGTGCACAGTGCCACCTTCCCATAGAACTTGAGCTTGTGCAGGGAGGGCACAGTGCGTCCAGCCTGGAGCAAGTTGTGTGTTCTCGTCCACCTCAGCACGCTCTTGTCCAGCATGGATGCTGCCAACTCCAGTCTACACTGAAGAAGTCGAGAGGGAGGAGGTTCCGGAGTGCTCCAGATTCACACCCCCAGGGCACGGTGGCCCCGAGCCGTCTCCCTGACAAGCTCCTCTCTCTGGCCACCGTATTTTCCATTGAGTCAATATTCTTTTTGTTGTTGTTTCTCAAACTTTCAGTCATTTATGGCTCTTTAGAAGGAGGATTCTAACTTTAAAACTCTTAGCAGTGCACCTGTTTACTTGATAGAGGCTACTTGCAATTTGTTTAGTTTTATCTGTGGGGCAGACAATCATAAACCTGATTTCTCCGACCAGACACCTCTTCCTGAAATGCGCATTAGCTGCGAGGATGCAGTGGTGAGGTGAAGCGAGGCGTCAGCCCTTGAGGGTCTAGGTGCCTGTTTTGGAGGAGACGCCGACTGAGTCCTGCCCCTCCCACCTGGGTGCCGGGCAGGCCCTCCACGCTGTCCCCGCTCCCGGCCGTGGTGGAGGCTTGCTGGAAGAGAGTTCCCTGCTAGACCACAGGTGGGGTTAGGGTTTTAGTGGTTTGTTGTTTCTTTTTGTTTTTATAGATTTTTTTTTTTTTTTTTTTTGAGACGGAGTCTCGCTCTGTCACCCAGGCTGGAGTGCGGTGGCATGATCTCGGCTCACTGCAAGCTCCGCCTCCCGGGTTCACGCCATTCTCCTGCCTCAGCCTCCCGAGTAGCTGGGACTACAGGTGCCCGCCACCACACTGGGCTAATTTTTTTTTTTTTTTTTTTTTTTGTATTTTTAGTAGAGACGGGGTCTCACCGTGTTAGCCAGGATGGTCTCAATCTCCTGACCTCATGATCCACCCACCTCGGCCTCCCAAAGTGCTGGGATTGCAGGCGTGAGCCACCGCGTCCGGCCTATCAAAGTGTCCATTCTCAGTCTCTGCCCATTCTGCGTTCTTTCACTCGGTGGGCGTGTCGTAGTCTTTGGTGTGCCAGGCTCCTCTCCGTTCCTGGGGAGGGCCGTGGGGCTTGCGTGCTCACCAGTCCTCTCTCCACGGATCCTGAACATGCCTGTCACCTCTTGCTTTAGAAACGTGGGGACCGGACACAGTGTCTCATGCCTGTAGCCCTAGCACTGTGGGAGGCCGAGGCAAGAGGATCCCATGAGCTAAGAATGTTTCTTTACATTTTTAAATAGTCCGAAAAAATCAAAAGCATCATATTTTATGATGTGAAAATTTAAGAATTGAAATTTCATGGTGCGTAGTCTGATTGGAACCGGCCCTGCTGGCTCAGCGGTGGTCTGCCTTCACCCGTCCGTGGTGCAGTTGAGTGTGCGCTGGGCGTGTGCTGCCTGCCTGCTGGTGGCTTTGAGCAGCTCTCTGTGCGCCCTGGCTGGAACTCATCATCACTGCGTCGGGACGTTTTCACGCCCACTGCATGGCCTGCACGTCAGAATGAAGAAAGGAGAAAAGGAGACTTCAGGGTTGCACTTCGAAGCCACAGTGAACTCTGAGTTGTTTTGTTGTTGAACTGTCATTGTTGATGGCAAAGCACAGAGTTTCTCATCCGGAGTTTCTCATCCGTGATACTGTAGCTATGTCGAGAGCAAACAGCTGACAGTGGAGTCACCGACTCAACACCAGCAATATCTGCCCTTACGGGAAAGCAGTATTTAGACACCAGCAATATTCCCCACTCACAGGAAAGCAGTATTTAGAAAATACTGAAAATTTAAAATGGAATGTCTCATCACAGCAGAATTTCCTCTCAGAAGTGAAAATGAAATACGGCTGTAGTCAGAGTAAGCTTCCAATTGTCTGATTCGTTAGCCTTGTGCCAACAGTGAGCTCATCAGATCAGGCTGGACTGCCACAGCTTAAGAGCAGTGTCCGGAGACAGTGAGCTCTTATTCATTCATTCATTCATTCATTCATTCACTTTTGAGATGGAGTTTCACTCTTGTTGCCCAGGCTGAGTGCAGTGGCACTATCTCAGCTCACCGAAACCTCCGCCTCCCAGGTTCACACGGTTCTCCTGTCTCAGCCTCCTGAGTAGCTGGGATTACAGGCATCTGCCACCATGCCCAGCTAATTTTTTGTATTTTAGTAGAGATGGGGTTTCACTGTGTTGGCCAGGCTGGTCTCAAACTCCTGACCTCAGGTGATCCACCTGCCTCAGCCTCCCAAACTGCCAGGATTACAGGTGTGAGCCACGCCCAGCCCCAATAAATGTTTGGATGCCTCTATACACCTGACACTGAGTGCTACTATTTTTAATCCTTTTTTATTCTTCTAGGTGAAAATTAAAGAAATGGGAATTAGAGCCAAGGGTCTGAAGCTGAGTTGTTTTCCACTGTGTCCATGGGGCTCTCTCCTTTGCATGGACCCATGTGACCTTTCTATCATTCCCATTACAGCTCTTCTGGAGACTGATGGGCACAGCCTCCTGCTGTCAGCCCCTGTCTTCCAGGCCTCCGTTTCAGCTGCTGGGATGTGATTATTTAAGGGAAACATTTTCTTTCAAGCTGCTCTCAGATTGTCCAGGCCAATCTTTCAGCATTTCCCTTGTGAAGCTCCACCTGAGGCCGGCCACACCTATCCCCTTGGCTCTCGGGGTCCCCTCCTGTCTCTACCCAGGCTCTCGGGGTCCCTTCCTCTCCCCAGGCTCTCGGGGTCCCCCCCCTCTACCCAGGCCTTGGGGTCCCCTCCTGTCTCTATCCAGGCTCTCGGGGTCCCTTCCTCTCCCCAGGCTCTCAGGGTCCCCTCTTCCCAGGCTCTCGGGGTCCCTTCCTCTCTCTTCCTAGGCTCTCGGGGTCCCCTCCTCTCTCTTCCTAGGCTCTCGGGGCCCCCTCCTCTCTCTGCCCAGGCTCTCGGGGCCCCCTCCTCTCTCTACCTAGGCTACTGTGTTCCTGAGCAGTGACCCACGTCGTCCACTCCGTTGCCTGGATGTGAACTTAAGGTCACATTTAGGGGGCCTTTGCTGAGAGTCCGTTTGCTTTTCCCTGGAACCTGCAAGGTTCTGGCCTGCTCTTGCTGGCCATCCCTGGAGGGTCAGGCCTCTTCTGGTCCAACCAGCGGAGGCCGCATGCTGACCGCCTCGAGCTGGAGTGACCCAATGGCAGGTGTGGGTGAGGAGGATGCTGCCTGTCTGTGGCCGGGCAGTCTCTTCCCTGGAATTTGTGCCTGTGGTTGTGGCCACAGACACCAGGGGGCGCTCTTAACCCACTGCCAGGCAATGTGGCGCCAGAGCCCATAGCTGTGAGCAGCCGTCGCAGCAGGCTGTGGACTCAGGCACCCGGGACACATGGTCCCTGGGGCTGTCGGGCCCTCGAGGGCTCTCTTGGGGTTCCTCAATGGCGGCCTTAGGTGCCTGTGAGCTGGCAGGGTCTGCCACCGCGCAGAAGCGTGGGGAGAGCCCAGTGGCAGGTTCATTCTCTGAGCTGTGGGCGTCCAGGCAGTTCACTGGCTCAGCCGTGAGGTCAGCAATGATGTTTGACGCGGCACCCATGTGGCTGCAGTATTTATCAAGCCCCTGGTGATGGTTGGTTCTGTGACATTGGACACTCACAGGCGGTGGCCGAGATGGGAATGACAGTCCCACAGCTGGGCTTCCTGGGCTCCATGCCTGTCCTAGGCCTGGAAGAGCCGGCCTGCGACTCAGCGTCCCATGTGGGCTGGTGGGGCGGGTGCCCGGGGGGGGCACCTCCTGCTGTGCTGAGCCCCGAAAACATCCCAGTCTTAATTTGCTGCTTTCTTATTAGTAGCCTTCAAACTTCATAATGCAAATCCGTAATTTTCCTTATGTGATGTTTATGAACAGTTTAATATAATCCACTGCCTGTGTAAGATTAAAGACTGTGTGTTGATTTTCCATAGCGGAAATGAGAAAGCAGAGGGAGTTCTATCACAAATTGGGCATGGAGGTGCCTGGAGACATCAAGGGGGAGACCTGCTCTGCAAAACAGCACTTAGATTCCCATCGGAATGGTGAGTGCCCTGCGTGCCCATCGAGAAGCCCCAGGAATCCCTGCACAAGGCCTTTTCTTAAAGAGCCGGCACTGTCTGCCAGGCTCTCCCACACGTACTCGGGAGAAAATGAAGGAACCTGAGGGTGCGGGGAGGTTAGGGTTCGAGGCGTTCCTCCTCACTCCTGGTACCAGTGGGAATGTGGGCAGAGGGGAGAAGCGGGGGTCCTGGAGGGGTGAGGCCAGCAGGGGAGAGCAGGAGGGCCCCCCGAGAGTGCCTTGGGGGCAGAGGTCAGGGGTTGGAGAGCCTGTGGAAAAAGTAGTGGAAGGTGAACTTCCTGAGACTTGGCTTGGCTTGGTTTACTGTAAAATGGCAAAATAATGGTTTGGTTTCTGTGTAAAGGGAATGGTATGTTCACATCCAAGTGTATCACAACAGATTTTCATGTCTTGAGGACATTTTATTTTCCTAATGGACCACACAAACTCTTAAGAAATTTTTTTTTTTTTTTTTTTTTTTTTTTTGAGACGGAGTCTCACTCTGTCGCCCAGGCTGGAGTGCAGTGGCCGGATCTCAGCTCACTGCAAGCTCCGCCTCCCGGGTTTACGCCATTCTCCTGCCTCAGCCTCCCGAGTAGCTGGGACTACAGGCGCCCACCACCTCGCCCGGCTAGTTTTTTTGTATTTTTTAGTAGAGACGGGGTTTCACCGTGTTAGCCAGGATGGTCTCGATCTCCTGACCTCGTGATCCGCCTGTCTCGGCCTCCCAAAGTGCTGGGATTACAGGCTTGAGCCACCGTGCCCGGCCACTCTTTTTTTTTTTTTTTTTTTTTTTTTTTGAGACGGAGTCTTGCTCTGTGCCCCAGGCTGGAGTGCAGTGGCCGGATCTCAGCTCACTGCAAGCTCCGCCTCCCGGGTTTACGCCATTCTCCTGCCTCAGCCTCCCGAGTAGCTGGGACTACAGGCGCCTGCCACCTCGCCCGGCTAGTTTTTTGTATTTTTAGTAGAGACGGGGTTTCACCGTGTTAGCCAGGATGGTCTCGATCTCCTGACCTCGTGATCCGCCCGTCTCGGCCTCCCAAAGTGCTGGGATTACAGGCTTGAGCCACCGCGCCCGGCCACTCTTAAGAAATGTTTAGGCTCCTCTGTGTATCTGTGAGGGTTGGAGGGGTAAGAGGGGCCTGGCTCTGTCACTCCCACGGCTTTGCGGGTCCCAGGAAGCGCAGCCGTGAGGGGTGCTTGGGAAGCGTGTCTGGGAACCAAGCAGTCCTGTCAGACCCGTTTTACCGAGGGGAAGTTTTCATTTTAAATGCAGTGTTAGAATAGTGGATTTTTAGCAGAAGGCTTTCAGATGGAGGGCTGATGGGGTCAGCACTGAGCAGCTCTGGGCGGGCCTGGCCAGGTGGGTGCGAAGCATGTGTGTGTCCCACACCGGCTCCGGCTGCCCCGTCCCTGTCTTCTGTGCTCCCCACATCTGCACCCACAGACCCATGCGCCCGTTCCGCCTCCCGGGGAGACCCCTGCAGACGCTTTGCAGACGGCTTTCCTTTGACTCCTACTCTGCTCCGGGGGTTCAGTCTCCTAATGGAATGAATTTTTGACGGCATTTGGAGTACAGTGGAGTTTTTTAAATGGCTTGACAGTTTGGATTTCATGGTGCACTATGTTCTGTTTGTGCTAAAAGGTGAAACCAAAGCAGACGACAGTTCAAACAAAGAGGCCGCGGAGGAGAAGCCGGAGGAGGACAACGACTACCACCGCAGCGACGAGCAGGTGGGCGGGGCCCTGGGGCTTCCGGATGCTCCTGTATTTGGAACCATGAGCAGGTGGGCGGGGCCCCGGGGCTTCCGGATGCTCCTGTATTTGGAACCATGAGCAGGTGGGCGGGGCCCCGGGGCTTCTGTATTAGTGCTCCCCAGGGAGCCTTGAGCAGGTGGATGGGGCCCCAGGGCTTCTGTATTAGTGCTCCCCAGGGACCCTGAGCAGGTGGGCGGGGCCCCAGGGCTTCTGTATTAGTGCTCCCCAGGGACCCTGAGCAGGTGGGCGGGGCCCCAGGGCTTCTGTATTAGTGCTCCCCAGGGACCCTGAGCAGGTAGGTGGGGCCCCGGGGCTCCGGGACGCTCCTGTATTAGTCTTCCTGTAATAGTGCAGTGCCAGGAGCACCGAGGGAGGGCTCACACCAGAAACCTTCCCTCAGGATGAAGTGATGCCCAGCACCCAAGGGCTGCAGTTTTCTTCCTCCCGACTTCTTCCTTTGTTTTTCTTTTTTAAAAATTACCAGAGGAGCACGTGCTTAGGGTAAAGCATGGCAGATATAAAACGTGGCAGGTCAGCGGCCGGCTCTGGCCTCTCAGCCCCATGGCCCGAGTTGTGTGCCTTTTCCTCCGGGCACGTCTGTGTGCGTCTGTGAATGTTATGTGAAAGAAGGCAAAGCCCAGCAGTGTGTTGAAAGTGGGAGTGAACGTCGAAGGCCTCTTCGTGTGTCCGTGTGTCATTTACTGTATTACCAGATGAAGACAGAAAAACTACATGGTCACAGACATGCAGAAAAAGAATTTAGTGAAATTCCATACCCACGTCTAAAGAACTTTTTTTGGGGGGTGGAGTTTTTACTCTTGTCTGCCAGGCTGGAGTGCAGTGGCACCATCTTGGCTCACTACGGCCTCTGCCTCCTGGGTTCAAGCGATTCTCCTGCCTCAGCATCCTGAGTAGCTGGGACTATAGGCACCTGTTACCACGCCCGGCTAACTTTTGTATTTTTAGTAGAGACAGAATTTCACCACATTGGCCAGGCTGGTCTTGAACACCTGACCTCAGTTGACCTGCCTGCCTCAGCCTCCCAAAGTGCTGGGATTACAGGCGTGAGCCACCGTGCCCGGCTGAGTAATGGGACCTTAACTTTTTAGTTTATACTTATGCATTGTTTAAAAGGTTCAGTGAGCATTACAGAAATAGACACGTGTGTCCAACGTGGGATGTGATGGCGTTGCCTTTTGGGTCAGTAGAGAAGAGCAGCCAGTTCAGAGAAGGGGTCTGCAGGGGCAGGAAGAGAGGAAATCGCCCTCTTCTTTAATGACCCCTGGTTTCACTGCCATGCTTGGTTCCTGGTGTTTAAGTGCCTGATGCTTCCTCTGTTGGTGGCTTGGCGGCTCTTCTGGAACTACGCTGTTCTTCTCTCTGTGGCGTTGGTCTCGTCTGCGCTGAGGCCCCAGGTCTTTCCTGGTTGGCCTTTGTTAGTTACTTGTCCTTAGAGCAGTTCCCCCCTGGGAGGAGCCCCCTGGGATCTTGTGGAAATTCGGTTTTGGGGTCTGCTGGGTGGGCTGGTGTTCCAGAGGGGCGCAGGCTGCTGCTCCCCCTTCCTCTGGTGTGGTTTTCCACGGATTGATGTAAAGCTGTGTGTGATGTCCTCCTCCAGTTTAATCTGTGTTTTGCAGTTTTAAATTTATATCAGTGCTTATTTTTACTAATATTTACCTTTTCTTTTGATCCTTGATGTGCTCAAGATGTATTTGTTGCTTTCAAAAGAGCCAATTTTTTTTTTAATTGATCAAACATTGAATTTTCTTTTTTCTTTTTTGAGATGAAATTTTGCTCTTGTTGCCCAGGCTGGAGTGCAATGGCACGATCTCGGCTCACTGCAACCTTTGCCTCCCATGTTCGAGTGATTCTCCTGCCTCAGCCTCCTGAGTAGCTGGGATTACAGGCATGCACCACTACGCCCGGCTAATTTTGTATTTTTAGTAGAGACGGAGTTTCTCCATGTTGGTCAGGCTGGTCTTGGACTCCCGACCACAGGTGATCTGCCCGCCTCGGCCTCCGAAAGTGCTAGAATTACAGGCATGAGCCACCACGCCCTACAGAATTTTCTTTTTTTTCTTTTTTTTGAGACAGGCCTCAGCCTCCCAAGTAGCTGGGATTACAGGCATGCCCTTCCACGCCCTGCTAATTTTTATATTTTTAGTAGAGATGGGGTTTTACCATGTTAGCCAGGCTGGTCTTGAACTCCTGACCTCGTGATCCACCCACCTTGGCCTCCCAAAGTGCTGGGATTACAGGCGTGAGCCCCCATGCCCAGCCTTGCTGAATTTTCTTAAAACATTTTTTTTTTCTGACATCTTGAGTTAAAAGTCTTTTGTTGGCCAGGCGCGGTGGCTTACGCCTGTAATCCCAGCACTTTGGGAGGCTGAGGCAGGCAGACCACGAGGTTAGGAGATCAAGACATCCTGGTTAACATGATGAAATCCCGTCTCTACTAAAAATACAAAAAAAATGGCCGGGCACAGTGGCTCACACCTGTAGTCCCAGCTGCTCGCGAAGCTGAGGCAGGAGAATGACGTGAACCCGGGAGGTGGAGCTTGCAGTGTGCAGAGATCGCGCCACTGCACTCCAGCCTGGGCGACAGAGCAAGACTCCATTTCAAAAAAAAAAAAAAAAAAAAAGTCTTTTGTTGTTCTTTGAGACAGGATCTGGCTCTCTCATCCAGCCTGGAGTGCAGTGGTACAATCACAGCTCCCTGCACCCTCTGCCTCCTGGGCTCCTGCCCAAGCCTCCAGAGTAGCAGACACTGTTGGCACACCACACCAGTTAACTTTTTAAATTTTTTGTAGCAATGGAGTCTTGCTGTGTTGCCTAGGCCAGTCTGAACTCCTGGGCTCAAGCAGTCCGCCTGCCTCAGTCTTCCAAAGTGCCAGGATTCCAGGCATGAGCCCGCATGCCTGCCCGGTCTTTGTAAGTGCATTTCTGGCTGTGTGTTTCCTGTGTGCTCCTGGCTTCTCCCTGCACTTTTTTTTTTTTTTTTTTGAGATGGAGTCTCGCTCTGTTGCCCAGGCTGGAGTGCAGTGGCCGGATCTCAGCTCACTGCAAGCTCCGCCTCCCGGGTTTACGCCATTCTCCTGCCTCAGCCTCCCGAGTAGCTGGGACTACAGGCGCCGCCACCACGCCCGGCTAGTTTTTTGTATTTTTTAGTAGAGACGGGGTTTCACTGTGTTAGCCAGGATGGTCTCGATCTCCTGACCTCGTGATCTGCCTGTCTTGGCCTCCCAAAGTGCTGGGATTACAGGCTTGAGCCACCGCGCCCGGCCCTCCCTGCACACTTTTATGAGTAACATTTTCACTGGCATTCATTTCTAAAGAAGCTGTAATTTCATCAGAGTTCCTTTTTGATCGAGAAGTTTGTTCTGAAGTATTCGAGTAACATGGCCTTTTTGGGTTCCATCCACTCTCCTTTCTAGTCTCCTTCCCGAGCGGTCAGGGAGTGTTGTCTACGCGGACCTCCGCCTTGGGGGATTGAGATCTTCTTTCTTGTTCACTTGGGTGCAGATTTTCCAGGGGTCCTGGGGTGATTTTCCTTTGGCTGAGTTTGCTGGTTGGTGTGGTGGGTAAACAAGCAGACCCCGGGGGCCAGTTGTCCACGTCCTGCTCTGCCTTTAGCCAGGGCGTGGCCTTCACAAGTGACCTACCTCTGTCTCAGTTTCTCTGTCTGTGGTGTGAGGTGGTGATGAGATTGCCTCGAGGTTTTTAGGAAGATTAAATGATTTCCTACTTGTGAGGCACCTTGAGGTGTTACGTTGAATGAGTGAGAAGCAAGCCGGCATCCTGGGAGATGGTTAACTCCAACATTCAAGTTCGGTGGTTTTTCTTGTTGACGCACCCCTTTAGATTCCTGTTCTCTCTGTTGCTCTAACCTCGCAGTGATGCTTAGGAGCCGTGCTGCTGGGTGTGCAGGCTGGTGGTTCTTACATAGTTTTGATGACTTGCACCTTTTGCCAGCGTGGATTCTTTTTTTTCTCTTTTTTTCCTGTTTAGTGTGTTTTTGCTCCAACCCCGTTTCTCTTGTACTAACATCGCTACTGTTGCTGTTGGGCTCTGCTTCCACCCTCCCTGTCATTTGTCTCAGGTGTGTTACAGAGGCTTTTGCTTTGCTTTTTTACACCCATCTCAGGTTATCTTTGATAGGGGAGTTTAACCCGTTGTCTTTGTGAGAAAACACATCTTCTTCCCCTCTACCCTTGAGGGCCTGGATCAGGTTTGTTGACTTCTTTCTCTGCTCTGATGGTTTGGGAATTTTGCATTCTCTTTCTGTTCTTGTGGCTGCTCTTAAACTTGGATTCCGTGTCCGTTTGTGGGATTATCTGCGTCTGTAACTTTGTGATGAGTTCCTGATCCCCATCTTCCAAAACTTGGAAGTCATCTGAGGGTTTGTTCCAGATTGTTTTTGGTAATTTTAAAATTTTATTTCTCACTAGTTTTATTCTAGGAATCGCTTCCTCATCTTACTGAAGTTTGGATGCGACATTACGGTTATTTAGACTTAGCCAGAGGTTGCGTGGGTTTTCTGAGTGTTTCTGGTGTCTTCCTGCTGTGTTTGGATTTGTGCTTTGCCACGTCCTCATGTCACTTCCGAGCCCAGCACAGTGGCCCCTAAACTCCTGCCAGTCACGGGCTCTATGTTGTCCCCCTCACACCAGTGACAGTCGTTTCTTCTCTTAACTCTTAAACCCTTCTCAGTCATTCGGATGACCTGATTAAATTATGTACTTTTCTTTTTTTTTTTTTTTTTTTTTGTTGAGACAGAGTCTCGCTCTGTCGCCCGGGCTGGAGTGCAGTGGCCGGATCTCAGCTCACTGCAAGCTCCGCCTCCCGGGTTTACGCCATTCTCCTGCCTCAGCCTCCCGTGTAGCTGGGACTACAGACGCCCGCCACCTCGCCCGGCTAATTTTTTGTATTTTTAGTAGAGACAGGGTTTCACCGTGTTAGCCAGGATGGTCTCGATC